GTGGTCACTCTTTTACCTGCCACACCTACCTACCCGTGCACTACTTGGCTTGCCCCTGACCTGTCTTGGGATTTCTGCCTGCCTGCTGTGACCTCTGCTTGTATTCTGAATCTGCTCCTATAGTGCACTCCTGTCCTTTACTGCCTGGTTGTGTTCCTATCTTGGCTTGTATCCTGACTTTGTCTCTGCCTGATGTTCCTGCACCTCACTTCCTGACTGTTCTTGACCTTTTCGCTTGTGTCCTGGCTACACTCCTGTCTACCAATCAAGTATCATAGTGCTCCAGTTCCTGGTTCCTGCCTGGTGATCTATGGTCATCTGCTTCCTGCAAAAAGTGCTCTCGTGCCACTCTGTGTTCTCACACCTCCTGTCATCACTACTAGGGGTGCTGGCCAAGAGGTGCAAGAGAAGCCCCCTCTCCAGCTCAATCTCCAGCAGGTACGTGACATGAATTTTCACTACGTTCACTAAGAAAAAATTCCCTTTCAAAGTGAACATCCTATATGCTTTTACTAAATCAGTCATAAGGCCTTCAGTTTGTTTAATTTAATTTATTTTGATTATTCATAGATAATAGGAAAGGGGGGCTAGGCTGTTTCCTAAAGCTCCAGAATGCAGCTTCTGGCTATGTTAATCAACTGAGGGAGGACTCATATCTTGGAGGTTATCCTGGGTATAGTATTGTAGGAAGAAGGCTGGTTCACTTGGTATTGAGCCTGTGAATTTTTAGGTGATCTACTAAACGTTTTTTTTACAATACAGGATTTTTATTGTAAAAAGGAACTGAAATAACAATACATTTGAGTAACCATTGTAACATTGTAAGCGTGGTACAATACGGAGTATAATGGCTACAAGTTGTAGTACATCCAACATAAAGTAGGAAAAAACAATCAATAGTCACAATATAAAAAGTGAGCAGTACTGTATCCTATACAATTGTATTTCAGGGTGAGACCCAGGGTATAAAGGGCCAACAAAAGGAGAGGGCTGGGTGTGAAGGGAAAGAAATCGGGGGGGAGGGGGAAGAGAGAAGGGGGGGAGGAAAGAGGAGGGGGGAGGGTGGGTAGGGAAACCTCAATAGTCTACTCACTGATAAATTAGTTGGAAGTACTAAGGGGCATGAGACTCAATCCTCAAACCCTTCAGTGGGACGTCCAGGGAAGCCACACCTTGTCATACTTCCAGGGACAGCCTCTACTAATATAGTTGAGCTTTTACATGAGAAGTGCTGCATCGATGGTGCCTCTCAGGACGACACCACTGGAGGGTCCCCCAAGTTCCACTTCAGCAGAATCTCTTTTTTGGCGTAGTATAGGAGATAAGATATCAAGAATTTCTAATGGTGGGACTGTTGTACATCATCATGAAGCTCCAGGAAAGCCTTATCAGGTGAGAGGGGCAAAGATAGCTGCAGCCGTAGATTAATTAGCTTGTAAACTTCAGACCAACAGGGAATAACCCTAGGACATGTCCTAAAACATGTGTATAAACGATCCCGGATATAACTGGCAGCGGGGACAAGTAGGGTCTTGCTCCAGTATATCTGAAAGAGCCTCAGAGGGGTATAGTAAAACCTTGGCCTGTGTGAGTTTAACTCTGGAGGATATAACCAGCTTAGGACCTGTTACAAAGCATCCTTCCTGTCCTCCTCATCTAAAGAGGTAATATCCTCCTTCCAAGTCACCCAGAGCTGCTTAATCTTAGGGAGCTGACACACAGCAATGCTTCATAAAGGACTGATAACATCTTTTTCAGATCTCCCTGGACAGCAGCTCCTCAATAGGGTCTGTCTGCAAGATAGGTGGTCTTCCCTGGCTGCGTGTCTTAGCTGGAAATACCTGAACAGCATCGCTCGCAGGAGGTGAAATGTCTGGGAGAGTCGAGGGAAAGGCAGCAAGACCCCAGAGGGAATCATATCAGCCAGGGTCTTGATGCCATATCTCGTCCACAATTGGGAATAGAGTGAAAGTGGGAAAGTGTAGGATTCCCCCAGAGAGGTTGGGCCAGTGACAAATGATCAGGTCACACATACCGACATCAAGTCATTGCCCCAAACCCTTAACATGGCTTGCGTAGGGCCTGGAACAGTGTCATATGTTTTAGACCCCGATATGGTATGGAGGTCAGCTATGGAGTCCAAAGAGGCCACTTCCAAACAGACTGCAGCATTAGACCTAAAGCCACCAAACCACCAATAGACTGTTATCAACATTGCCACCCAGTAGTACACTTGAAAGTTTGGAAGGGCCAGAACAAGAATGGTTTAAGTGTCAATGTGAACTTGTCTTAAAAAATCCTGTTTATCATTTTGAAAGAAGAAAAAATGTTTTAGATGGACTTTAACTATCAATTGAAATTGATTTTTACTTTTCATGTTGTGTATATACCCTTATCTCTCAATAGGAAAAGGACATCCATTCAGGATTAATTGGTCCATTGCTTATTTGTAGAAGTGGAACCCTTGATAAAGGAAACAGGCCACTGGACGCCCGTGAATTTATACTGTTGTTTATGACTTTTGAAGAAGAAAAAAGCTGGTACTTTGATAAAGCAAAGAATACATGTACGGACATCACAGAAAAAGCCAGCATATGCAAATAAATGTCACACATTTCATGGTATGTTGTATTAAAACACTACCAAAGTCTAGTTAAATTGGCACAGTATTTTCTAAATTATGTTAACTAAATCAGAATTAAATAAATGTAAATTATTAAAGTTATTTAAAAACCCTTTCAGCCTCAGAAACTCAGACTGAAGCAAACCTGTCATCTATTTTAAACACTGAGAAGTAGAAGGCTATTAGGCATAACATCCCCTATATATGTGCCTCTATGATTTAGTTTCACCTTGTTACTTAAAGCGGAGTTCCACTCAACCTATCAAAAAATAAAAGTCAGCAGCTACAAAAACTGTAGCTGCTGACTTTTAAAAAACAGCCACTTACCTGTCCCTCGGTCCTGTGGTGTGTCCTCCGCAGCTTGTTTCACCGGCTGTCCTGTATTCCAGGAGGCCGGCATCTTCAGTGTGGGCACCCGGCTATGACAGCTTGCGGCTTCACAGCCGGGTACATTCTGCGCAAGCGCGAGTAGTGCTGCACTTCGTGAATGGTCCTGTAGTCTTCTGGGACCTGTCACGTGTCCCAAAAGACTACAGGGAGAGAGGGAGACCACCTTCCGTTTCCGATCGCCTAGGCGATCGGACCGGAAGAGGGAACGGGTTCCTGTCAAATTCCAGTAACAGCTCCCCCCTTGCTCCCCAAAGGTGCCAATCCTTAATGGGGAGCAGGCCTTAAAGCGGAACTTCCCCTTTTGGGTGGAGCTCTGCTTTAAGACTTGACTAAGTAACTATGCCTTCCCCACCTCTGCAGAGAGAACTATAGTGACCATGAAAATACAAGGTTCACTAATTTCCTAGCCCGTACCAACCCCCCCTCCCTTTCCCCAGACCCCTCCAAAATTAAAATGCCAAGTCAAAGCTAATAAATAATAATTTTACACCTTGACTTTGTGATCACCTAGGAGAGGGCAACTTCACTTTACCTGCTTATAGGAGTCTGGAAAAGCTAAGGATCCCAAATTCACACTGGACTTCAAGCATCTTGCAGTGTGTGCCTCTCCATTCTTCCTCCATACTCTGGGTCCTTGGTTTCCAAATGAGATGGAAAAGTTGCTCTCATCAGAAAAGAGGACTTTGAACCACTGAGCAACAGACCAGGTCTGTTTTTCTCTAGCCCAGGTAAGACGCTTCTGACATTGTTTGTTGTTCAGGAGCGGCTTGACAAGAGGAATACGACATTTGAAGCCCATGTCCAGGATCCGTCTGTGTTGTGGCTCTTGATGCACTGACTCCAGCTTCAGTCCATTCCTTGTGAAAGTCCCCAACACTTTTGAATAGCCTTTACCTGACAATCCTCTCCAGGCTGCGGTCATCCCTGCTGCTTGTGCACCTTTTTATTCCACACTTTTCCCTTCCACATAACTTTCTATTAATGTGCTTTGATACAGCACTTTGGGAACATCCAACTTCTTTTGCAATTACCTTTTGAGGCTTTCCCTCCTTATGGAGGGTGTCAATGATGGTTTTCTGCACAACTGTCAGGTCAGCAGTCTTTCCCATGATTGTGATTCCTACTGAACCAGACTAAGAGACCATTTAAAGGCTCAGGAACCCCTTGCAGGTGTTATGGCTTAATTAGCTGATTAGAGTGGGACACTTTGAGCCGAGAATATTGCACCTTTTCACACAATATTCCAATATTCTGAGATTGTGGAATTGGGGTTTTCATGAGCTGTAAGCCATAATCATCACAATTATGACAAATCACAGCTTGAACTATCTTGCTTTGCATGTAATGAGTCCATCTTATATATTAGTTTCACCTTTTAAGTTGCATTACTGAAATAAATGAACTTTTGCACAATATTCTAATTTTTCGAGTTTCACCTGTAGATTGTAAAATAATCTAAAAATTACTGTATTTTTCGCTCCAAAAGACGCACTTTTTTTTCCCCCAAAAAGGGGGGAAAATGTCAGTGCGTCTTATGGAGCGAATGTAAAGCGGCCGGTCTGGTATTTCTGCCGCCACCATATCAGAATATTGGGCCGGCCGCTCAGCTCTTCTCTCCTGCAGGACCTTACCTATTCCTTGCTCCAGCGCTGCAGTCTTCCCGCGATGGCTTCTGTGACAGCCGGCTGCCCACTGCACATGCGTGAGAAGCGCTGCACTTTGTGAATGGTCCAGTGTCTTCTGGGAAACATGACAGGTCCCAGAAGGCTCCGGGCCATTCACAAAGCACAGCGCTTCTCGCGCATGCGCAGTTGGCACCTGGCTGTCACAGAAGCCGCCGTGGGAAGAAGGAAGGACAACTCCGCGGATGTGGGAGCGGGTACCTGTCAAATTCAGGTACCCGTTCCCCCTCCCTCCCCAAAGGTCCACAGTCTCTGGTAATCTCCTTTACTGTACTGTCTGTAGTCTCTGGTCATCTGTACTATGTCCACAGTCTCTGGTCATTCCCTGTACTATGTCCGCAGTCTCAGGTCATCCCCTGTACTGTGTCTGCAGTCTCTGGTCATCCCCTGTACTGTGTCCGCAGTCTCTGGTCATCTCCTTTACTGTGTCCGCAGTCTCTGGTCATCCCCTGTACTATGTCCGCAGTCTCTGGTCATCTCCTGTACTATGTCCGCAGTCTCTGGTCATCCCCTGTACTATATCCGCAGTCTCTGGTCATCCCCTGTACTGTGTCCGCAGTCTCTGGTCATCTCCTGTACTGTGTCCGCAGTCTCTGGTCATCCCCTGTACTGTGTCCACAGTCTCTGGTCATCCCCTGTACTGTGTCTGCAGTCCATTGGTTCAGAATATTTTTTGTGAACATTTTTTTAATTTAATTTCCTTATTTTCCAAAAAATTTACAACTTTAAAAAACTTGCCATGCCTCATACTAAATACCTCCGACTGTCTACTTCCAAATAGGGGTAATTTGAGGGATATTTGTACTGTCCAGACATTTTAAGGACTTCAAGAAATTAGATCGGCTGTCAGTACATCAGGATTAATCAATGTTACAATATATATCCCATAGTTTGTGGATGCTATAACTTTATTACAGACTAAATAATTTACACTGATTAGGATTTTTTATACCAAAGACATGTAGCAGAATTCATTTTGGCCAAAATTTGTGAAGAAATTAAATTTTTTTTATTGGATATGTTTTAGAACAGAAAATAGAAAATATTGTTTGTTGGGTTTTTTTTTAAATACATTTATATAATAAAAAATAAAAAACCCAGTGGTGATCAAATGCCACCAAGTAAAACTCTATTTGTGTGAAAAAAATATATAAATGTAATTTGTATACAGCGTTGTATGACCGCACAATTGCCAGTTAGTAGTGCAGTGCCGAATAGCAAAAAATAACCTGATCATGAAGGGCTGTAAAATATTCCGAAGTGAAGTGAAGTTAGGAAAATACGTAAATGTCTATGTTAAGCCAAGTGTTCTATGTATGATATTGAGTATATTAGGACTTGTACACAGGTTTCTATTGTATCACTTTATTGAAAAATATATAAATAAAGAATCTATAAAGAAGTAAAATTCTGATACAGTCACTACGAAAGACTGGAAAGCAGGGGCGGACTGACAACTCATGGGGCCCCCGGGCAATAGGGGATCATGGGGCCCCTGTGTCCTTGCCCAAACTCAAAAAAGTCTATGAAAAAGGTACCAGGGGCATCTCATGGGGCCCCCTACTGACCCTGGGCCCTCGGGCAGTGCCCGAGTTTCCAAATGGTCAGTCTGCCCCTGCTGGAAAGGAATGTAGTGTAAACACAAATTGACCTCTGATAATGATGGCTGGCTGGCTGTCATGCTAACCATATGGCTTTTTTATGACTGAGTGACTATCATGGTTGTGCCGGCACCCGCTGATCATCTAGGAGACTGACAGGAAATAGCTCTGCCTATATAACCAAGGCAGAGCTGTGTCCTGTCAGTGGGAATGTGCTGGATTCTCTTTCCCTGCACACAAGGAAAAAAAATCCAGCACATTATCTAGTAAAAACAGCACACACAGTAAACACTACACATTGCTAGGCACACGGTTAACCCCTTGATCACACTACATGTAAAACCCCTTCCCAGCTAGTGCCATTAGTACAGTGTATTAGTGTCACTGGTTCCCACAAGCTCCACAATATCGCAGTTCCGCTATAAGTCACTGATCGCCGCCATTTCTAGTAAAAAAAATATAAAATAAAAATGACAGTATATATATCATAGTTTTTAGATATGGTTATTCGGATTTTGTTACGAAAAATATGTAGCAGAATACAGTACATATTGGCCTAAATTTATGAAGCAATTTGATTTTTTTCATTATTTTATTGGATATGTTTCATAGCAGAAAGTAAAATATATTGTATTTTTTTTTCAAAATTTCCTGTCTTTTTTTGTTTATAGCCCAAAGGTGATCAAATACCACCTAAAGAAAGCTCTATTTGTGGGAAACAAAATGACATAGATTTCATTTAGGTACAGCATTGCATGAACGTGCAGTTGTCAATTAAAATAACACAGTGCCGTATTGCAAAAAATGGCCTAGTCAGGAAGGGGGGTAAATTTTCTGGAGGTCAAGTGGATAATGGCTGTCCTGGGCATATCTCAAACTGAAGATAGTTGCAGTCATTATTCTGCACAGCTGGGCCTGGCACAGGTGTGGCATTGGTGGAAACTTTGGAAACTCTACCAGTTTAAATAAAGGTGCAGCCCTGGGTGGGTTGGGCAATGACATGATGGAGGTCAATAATTAGTGTGGAAACAGAGTGGGGGTGTTTATTTTGTGAACCTGTACTTATCCTTTACTGTAATTAGGGAACAGATTTTAAGCATGTATGTGGAGATGGAGCTTAGACCACAAAAGCAAATTATTGCAGGCTAAAGAAAAAAGCCATGTTACTTTTCTGGATAAAACTGTTGTATAGCTTGGGTGATAGAGCCACCCAAAGATTTTACAAGTTGAACGTTACCAATTAATAGTAATTATTAAAAAATATTAACTGTTTTGATTAAAGTTCTTCATTAAACATGCAGTGTTTTGTCTTATGTGCTTATTTTTTCATTTCAGCCATAAATGGAATTATCTACAATCTGCAAGGTCTTCAAATGTACCAGGATGAATTAGTGCGATGGCATTTGTTAAACATGGGAAATCCAAAAGATGTGCATGTGATTAATTTTCATGGTCAGACTGTCACTGAAAGCATAAATAATGAACATCGACATGCAGTTTATCCTCTAATACCAGGTATATAAAATCATATTTGCTTTTGGTTGACATGCATGTTTTCAGCTAATTACTTAAAGGAGAAGTTGGCAGATAATACCATAGCACCCTGAGGGGGTGCTCACGTACACCCATAGTCATCTTTATGATGTCTTAGGTGAACTAATTACTATTACTTGTTGATGGCCTTGTTTTTTTTATGTTATGTATTGTCAAGGTAGTCATGGATCCTTATGTTTTCTGCTCTGTTTGGTCAACACTTCTGGTCTTTTATATGTCACAGGATCTGTGCATCCAAGTTGTATCACTACATATAATTCTGATTGTACTTTCATGTTTACAAAAATTCTGTAAGCAGTGTTCCATTTTTCAATTTCCTTGACAATAAAAGGTGTTTGGATTGAAAAAAAAAAAAAAAAAGAAGTACAGCCAAAGCTCTCTTGGCTGTACTTCTCCTGTGGATCACAGGAGTGCAGTTCGTTCTGCACTCCTTTGACCCGTTTTCAGCTGGCAGAGGGCTAAAACATGCTGTCAGCTGACATCACTCAGCCAGTCCAGGCTGGGGAAAGATCCCGACTTTAAAGTCGGGATTCACCCCTGAGTATGGAGCAGCGCATAGCTCAGCCTCTCAGCAGGGGCGGACTGACCATTTGGAAACTCGGACACTGCCCGAAGGCCTGGGGTCAGTAGGGGGCCCTATGAGATGCCCCTGGTACTTTTTTCATAGGCTTTTTTGAGTTTGGGCAAGGACACAGGGGCCCCATGATCCCCTATTGCCCGGGGGCCCCATCAGTTGTCAGTCCACCCCTGCCTCTCAGCAATCCTCTCAGAGCCTGAGCCACCTGCTCTCTCCCCCTCCATAGCGTGAGGGGGGCAGAGCAGAGAGCGATGACCGACAGTCTGTGCTCTCTGCTCAGAGCGGCTGTGAGAACTCAGCGATCAACAATAATGTTCTCGCAATTAGAGCTGGCGGGGGACAGCTGCAGCATTGGACAGATGCTGCATCCACCTAGGTAAGTGTGATTACAAAAGAAAACGAAATCCCATACTTCTCTTTTAAAGCTCTTTTACAGCTGAACTCTAGAGATAAAAGAAACAAATTAAGACAGCTCTGTAATCCTTTTTTTAAGCTAAAAAAAACACTGGATGAAAAATGCCGGTAATAGCGTTTTTCAGTAGCGTTTTATAGCGTTTAGAAGCATTTAGGAGCATTAGTGTTTTACAAGGAAACATGCAACAAAGTCACTACTGTGCTGATCTTCTATCAACCCATCAGGCTGGTTGGGACTTGTAATGCAAGGAGTATAAAAATTGGTATTGCAGCTGTCCAGTTTCTCCCCAGGGTGGCGGAAGAAGATCTGAGCAAAAGACAAAAATGACAACCGCCATATTGTAACTCCATTTATTGAGGTTAAAATCATAAAGATAATTGCATTCAAGGTACAATAGGTGCTGATCTTCTATCAACCCATCAGGCTGGTTGGGACTTGTAATGCAAGGAGTATAAAAATTGGTATTGCAGCTGTCCAGTTTCTCCCCAGGGTGGCGGAAGAAGATCTGAGCAAAAGACAAAAATGACAACCGCCATATTGTAACTCCATTTATTGAGGTTAAAATCATAAAGATAATTGCACTCAAGGTACAGGCAGGAATAAGGCACTTCAGAAAAATGATCCTCCTTGACTTCTCTCAAACTAGAGGTGTCAATCGTGTAGTGAGCTAGTGTGGTCACAGCTCCTTCTGGATCCTGCAGTAGTGGCTAGACACAGTGTGCCGCCGCTACTGCAACTGTGTCCGGACCAGCCGGCACATGCCCGATTTGTACATTTCACTGCTCGGAGAAGAGAGGAGGGAACACCAGCGTGGTTGCTACGATGACACATTTCAGAGGCGTGGTCTGCTTTGTCAAGTCACGCCCACCTGTGTCACCCAGAGTCTTATGTATGGTGCCAATATGATCCAACTAAGGATCCTCATAGGGGAAATTCCAAAGATGACCAAGGTGGGACCACAGCAACGGATACCAAACCTAAAAGGCTTCATGTACACGAGCCTACCCTGACTGCCAGCCGCGGGAAAACACAAATCACGGCAAAACTAAGGCAAAATAGTGGTACCACGGTTGTCACGGTTTTGATGCATTTTGCGTTTTCCCACAGTCAGTGGTCAAAACATACCTATCTTGAACGTGAACGCGATTTTTCTGCGTTCAGCAGAGGGAGGTTTAACCTCACCTAACCACAGCAGCTCCTAAACTCTGCTAAAAGCCTATGTGTACATGGACACATAGGCTTTTATGGAGTTGAGTTTAGGTGCTTTGGCAAAAAAATGCCAAAAGCTCCTAAACTCGAGTTCAGCAGCTGCTCGTGTACATGAGTCCTAAAACTCCTAATTATGATGATGAAATTAGCAAATAAAATAGCAAAACGATTGCAATAAATTAGCTTTCAAATTAGCAACAGACCCTGCATAGGTCTAAAACACGGGTGTCAAACTGGCGGCCCTCCAGCTGTTGCCAAACTACAAGTCCCATGATGCATTGCAAGATTGACAGTTACAAGCATGACTCCCAAAGGCAGAGGCATGATGGGACTTCTAGTTTCGCAACAGCTGCAGGGCCACCAGTTTGACACCCCTGGTCTAAAACATATATTTATAAGCATGCATGTGTATATCTCTCTCTCTCTCTCTCCCAAAAATGATGCAGTTTCATTAGGAAATGTAAAAAAATATTAAACATCAGTAAAGAGTGATAGTATATAAAATATTATATAGTATTATTATAAATGCAAACAGAGTGTTCTGGTATAAGCCATATCCTAACCCCTTGATGAGCCACCCATGGCCATGGCTGATGGACCTTGTCGCATTGACACACTAACTAGTAAATATTAAATCAAGGTATTGATTTCAAGTTCCTCATTTAACCCTTCAGGGGACATCGTATTCAGTGTGAAAATCCAAAATGTCTCACACTATCAAAAGTCTGGAAAATCTCTCACCCTCAGGCACTGACATAGGGATAGTTTCTACTGTATTCCAAAAAGCTCTAAACCCTGGATATTCCCACCATGTAAAGTACAGAAGTGGCGGGAACACTATGCTTGTCCCCTTTCTGTTCCATAAGCCGCCAGTGTTCACTAAATCTTTTGCGCATGGTGTGCACTGTCCTTCGCCCACATGGGCACCTGAGGCCATATGCAACAAATTGTGTTCCACTGCTAATAAACTGTTTGATTTGGAAAACCTTACCATCTTTCCTTGTAAAGGTTGTTTTGGCCATGATGCATAAAGGGGCAGACCTTACATTTACTGGACTTCATTTATAAGATCCTATTAAATTAAGAAATGTAGGAATGTCCTGTACTAAGCCCCGCTAGTGTTTTATTAACGTTTTTACAGTACATGTAGGGGAAAAAAAGCTCAAAAAAAGCTGTTAGGAGCATTTTAGTAATGTGTAGGAGCATATAGGGTTTTTGTATTGCATTTTACCAATTCGTAGATGTGGTGGCTGCATTCGTTTTCTTTTTTAGGCTTCTTTTCCTTTATTTTCACCTGGTGACTTGACCAGTAAGTCTGTTATTTTTCACTTGATTTATTAGACCAAGCTTTCCAGCAAAAATGGCAGTTAGAGGGTTTACATAAACTTTCTACCACTGACAGTGATGCTTACAATGATCAACTTTTATTCATTTATGTAAAACCTTTATCCCAAAAGGAAAAAAAAGATGTTGCTGTAACTGCTTAAAAGTGTTTGTTGGAGGTCTGGATTGATGTGTTTGTTAAAGCGGAGCTCCACCCAAAAGGGGAAGTTCCGCTTTATGCCTTTGTCCCCGCCCCCCCCAATAAGGATTGACATCTATGGGGAGCGGGAACCCGAATTTGACAGGCACCAGCTCCCACTTCCGCTGCAATCACCTAAGGCGATCGGAAGCAAATGTTGTCCTCCCCCTCCCTCCCCATAGTCTTCTGGGACACGTGACAGGTCCCAGAAGACTACGGGGCCATTCAGGAAGCGCAGCGCTTCTCGCTCATGCGCAGTGGGCACCCAGCTGTGAAGCCGCAAGCTGTCATAGCCAGCTGACCACACTGAAGATGCCGGCACCATGGAGAGAAGACAGCCAGGGAAACCAATCATGGTGAGGACACCGCTGGACTGAGAGACAGGTAAGTGTCCATATATTTTAAAAGTCAGCAGCTACAGTTTTTGTAGCTGCTGACTTTTAATTTTTTTTTTCAGGTGGAACTCCACTTTAGGTCCATCCAAATATTATAGTGCATCTAACACTACCCTCTTCCCAAATTGACATTGCTGTAGCCCATAGGTTTCTCCATTGCTCCTCCATCCAAAGGGGAGACACCCTAAGACAGGAAGAGTGTTATTGGCTGGATCACCAGGTGAAAATAAAGGAAAAAAAAAAACGAAAAAAGGAAAACTATTGCAGCCATCAAATGTAACCCCATAATGATACCATAACACATACAGTATATGTGGTATCCAGGATTTGGGCGTTAAACCTGTACACTGCATATACTGTATGTGTTCTTGTGTTTGTGCTGCCAGTGCACTCCGAGACTGGACTGTCACTGAGAGCCCGGGGCCTTGTTGTAACTCCTGGTTTTTGGTCACCTGTTGTCTGTGATAGCCTCTGACTGGCCACCGCAGTGATCAGTCACTGTATAGTCTGCCTCTGTGTGTGTTCTTTCACTTCTGAATAGCCGGAGAGAATGATGTAAACAAACAAACGTAAGGTTTGATCTAGGATAGTGTCGGGGTTAGTGTTAGGGGCAAGGGTCAAAGGTGAAGGCCAAGGTCAAAGGTCAGGTTCCGCATATTCTAGGTAGGAGTTTTAAAAAACTGTATTTTTAAAATTGGTATCAGTGTTAGTGTCAGCGTGTTTTAGGTAGGATAAAAAAAAAAAAAAAGCAAAATGTGCACTTTAAATTGTTTCTGGGCCCTACTATGTGCACAAACAACAGGCAACATGCTCATATGTGGTATCACTGTGAACATCCAGAACAGAAGAATTTATTTTGGGTTGTTCTTTGATGGTAAGCTATGGTAATAACATAAAATATACAGCTAAATTTTAAAAAGGTAATTCTTTTACTATTTTGGGCTAATTGTACTTTGATAGGAAAAATCAGCAGATATTCATTACTATTTACCACCAAGTGAAAGTCCAATTTGTCCTGAAAAAACAAGGTATAATCCACCTGGATACGCTAAGTAGTTGTGATCATATGTACAGTTTTACTAACATATGTCAAAGATGCAAAATTGGGTCTGGGTGTTAAAGTTTGTTTTACCCTCGGTCATGAAGGGGTTAAAGTGTTACTAAACCCAGGACACTCTGTACTCTGTACAGAGCTCTGTACTATCAGCTGATGGATTGAGGACAGTAGAAGAAAGTGTGAGGATTAGTGAAGACAGGGTGAAACAGCCTTTTTGCTCAATGCGGAGAATTAACCCCTTAGGTTCCACAGTGAGTATAACAAGCATGCTTTAATGCTTTACTGCATTTACAGACTGATTTTACTGTTATGGGTTTAGTAACACTTTAAGTACTGGTAAGCTGCAAAATATAGTGTTATTGGGTTTATTACCTTAGTGATAATTTATTATTGTTAGATCATATTTAATTATGACAGTAAAAAAGGATTATTCACTTTTATTGGATTATGTTAAAGGTTCATTTGCAACAGTTGAAATGCATCCTGCAAAACCTGGTCTTTGGCAGCTTGATACAGAGGTGGCGGAGTATCAGCAAGCTGGAATGCAATCAATATTCAGCATTGCAAATGCAGGTAAGGAGAAATAAGGGATGGAGGTAATCAAGTGATTCATTTCCCTGCAGGAGCAAATTGGATCATTTTTTGTTGGGTTTTTTTTTTTGCCTTCCTCTGGATCAACTGTGGGTATAGGATTATAACTTTTTTTTTTATGGTTGAACTGGATGGACTTTTGTCTTTTTTTCAGCCAGACTAAACTATGTGTGCTATCATGGGGGGGGGGGTTACATTTTTTTTAATATTTATTTTGCTTTTTTATTTTTACACCTTAGAAATAACCCTGATTAGTGTACATTATTTAGTCTGTCAGACTAACTATGTAACTATATAACTATACTGTACAGTCATAAAATATTTGAATTATTAGCAGGCTTATTGAAGGTAAATTTCAATCTTCTATTTACCTTCTATTTTCTGCTCTAATAAAAGGAATGTTAAAATTTAGTTGCTTAGGGTTATTGAACATCTTTTGTCTTTGACCTTGGCTACAACTTTTGTACATAAAAAAAAATGTTTAATTTTCCAGAATGTAACTTTCCCCTTGGCATGGAAAGCAGACTGATATCTGATGATCAGATCACTGCATCACATTACATAGGTAAGTAAAATTCTTCTAAAAGCTGGCATGCAGTTATGTTTTAACGTAGAACATTGTGTCTGGTGCAGAAGCTGATGTCAATCCAAATGTTGGAAATGAGGTGAAGGGAAATCTTCCAATGGGGGCAGCTTTTCTAAGAGGGGATATTCCCTATTCTAAGAGGGGAGATCTCCTCTTAAAGGCTAAGTTCATCTTTTCATGCAGAATTTCACTTTTCATAATAAATAGAATCATGTTGTCATATAACTTCTAGCCAAGCAATCCCAATGTTAAGTCTCACTTGCCTCATCCACAAAGAGTTTGACGTTTTAAAACATTCTTTCTGCTTGCATCACTGCCTGTAGGTCAGCTCCCATCATTCTCTGTGTTTTTGCATCTCAGAAAAGGGTGTGCTAGGGTGTGTATTATCAGTCTGGACCAGGGGCGGACTGACAACTCATGGGACCCCCGGGCAATAGGGGATCATGGGGCCCCTGTGTCCTTGCCCAAACTCAAAAAAGCCTTTGAAAAAGGTACCAGGGGCATCTCATGGGGCCCCCTACTGGCCCCGGGCCGAGTTTCCAAATGGTCAGTCCGCCCCTGGTCTGGACCACACCTCTCTCATTGTTATATCACCAACTACTTCTTCCCTTGTGGTGACCATACACATTACAATCTGATTGTACAATCTTCTTTACATCTGCCTTCAGCTATGTAGTGCAAGGGCCTGTCTAATCTGATACAAATTGAATAGATTGTTCAGGTGGGTCCTCCTATTCCATAGTTCTGGTAAATCTAAAGAAAAATGTACAATCAGATTGCATAGCGTATGGCCATTATTATACAAGTACATAGGAGGGAGTGGATAGATACACTCAGCTGTCAGGCCCTGTTCACATTTTCACATAGCGGGAACAGTGCACAGTTTGGGGGGGCATTTTGGAGCATTTACGCTCATCACACATAGGACAGCCCTTCACTTGAACAGACTGCCCTATGCGCAACAATTGCCCCAAGGGAGCTCCAGAACTTTTTTTATTAGAGTGGAGCATGGTGCGTTTTTTACTGTGCTTTTTGGTGCGTTTGCAACTTGTTTCTGAAACGCATGGCAAAGCATGCATTTTCTGTGCCTTGCATTTGGAAAAACAAAAATGTGAATGCAGCCTCATTGTTCTTGTGTAAACACACCAATTTCACTTTTAGGCCCTATTCACACCTAGTGTAGTGGGAGCGCATGTTTTTTGGCTCATTTTTCCTGTGACACACTGGATTGAAGAAGTGGGGCCAGCCTCCAACATTGTTGACATGCACTGGATCCTGCTGTAAGTGGCCCCTTGGCATAATGTACAATGTGTGGAGTTATTATTACACAGGATTTATATAGTGCCAACAGTTTGCTCAGCACTTTACAATATAAAGTTAGCCACAGGATGTTTTACAAGGTCCAGGGCTGTGGACCCTGTCCTGTGTGAGAGTATGCTCATCATGGAAGGCAAAGCCAGGATGGATTTACAGCATGGAAGCTCTTTAAATATTCATGTCCATGATATCTTCCTATCTACTAAAGCCCAATGGGGTGTGAGGGGGCCAGTGACCACCCTTTCGGGGATCACAGCTGTGAGCCAGGAGCACTTGTTTCATTTTAAATTTGGGCACCATTTCTTTGCCACTGCACCTGTGTGACTTTGCTTTTAAGGTGTCTAGTGTGCCTGTATGAGCAGGGGTACTTGCTGCGCCTGTGTACCTCACTCTCCTTTGAATTACTATGGCTGTGTGCCCTGCCTTTTCCTCTTTCTGGGTGCACTTTTTGACAAGGAAATAGCTCTCCTACACTGGCACAGTATAATGTTGTCCGCACTACCTGGGTTTACAGCAGCATACAAATGCTTTTCACCAAGGTCTAAGAATCCCCCAGTGGCACACCATCAGGGGTCGCAGAGGTCGCAATTGTGACCCAGCCCCTGCTCCAGGGGAGCCCGTGCGGCCTTCCTGTCACATTGGGTTTTTCAATTAGAGAAACTGATCACCTGTATGCAGCAGCTGAAAACCAGTGTCTCCCCCTCTTCCTCCCGCTGCTTTCAGCTGCTGCATACAGGTGATCGGTTCCTCTAATTCCCCCCCCCCCTCGTGGACTTATCACCCTCTATGTGCTCTGTGCCTCCTGTCTGTTAGTGTGTCTGTGCCTCACACAGGTGCCTAATGGATGGGGCTGCTGTGTAATGGAGGAGGTGGGTCAGGTGCTGAGGGGGAATGATAAGCGGTTAGTGCAGTGATAAGGGAACTTTCTTCCTTCATGCTATGTGGACTGTCTCTGTGTGAGCTGGTCCTGCCACCTCTTTCCCTCACCTCTCCCTCCAAGTCAGTGTCTCCTCACCTCCTTCTATCATTACCCTCCTGACCTGTCCTCAGTCATGACGGGGTGCCTAGGCCGGGGATGCATGCTTTATACCTGGAGCTGATCCGGGTGCCAGAGATCCTAAAAGCAAGTTCATCAAGTAGGGAGTGAAGAGCATGGGGGGAGGAGAGGGTAATGTGGAGGGCGTGAGAACATACAGTCCAGGACACTGACAGGGCTGGGGGACTTCTACACATTGGGTGGGACTGAGACTTCCTCAGACTCCCCCTGTACTGGAAACATTCCATTTGTAGGAGAGTGACAGGGGCTGCATGGGGAAGAAAGGAAGGGTGAGTTCTGTGCAGGCTGCAGGGGGACCCCTGTGGGACATGAAGGGACCCCAACACTGCCATAGGAATCAGCGGTCAATACGGTGACTCCACCAATGTGGCCTCCCTGTCACATTTGGATTTACACCTGGACAGGAGGGGCAGCAGGTTGGCATATACAGGAACCGATTGGTTCTATTTTCATCCTGCAGCCAATGAAAGCCGTCTTCTTCTCTTCTTTTTTGCTTGCATTCAGTGGCTGCGGGAGGAAAATACAGCTGATTCCTGTATATGCCACCTGCTGCCCCTCCTGTCCTGGTTACTCTTATATCTGTTGTGTGCTCCCCTGTACCTCCTGCTCTTGACAGCTGCTGTGGTGCCTCTTGCTGAATATTGGACTGTCTCTTGCTGGATATTAGGGATGTCTCTTGCTAGATATTGGACTGTCTATTGCTAGATATTGGGGATGTCTCCTGCTGGATATTAGGGATATCTCTTGCTGGATATGGGGATGTCTCTTGCTGGATATTGGGACTTTCTCTTGCTGGATATTGGGCTGTCTCTTGCTGGATATTGGGGATGCCTCTTGCTGGATATTGGGGATGTCTCTTGCTGGATATGGGGAAGTATCTTGCTGGATATTGGGCTGTCTCTTGCTGGATATTGGGGATGCCTCCTACTGGATATTGGGGATGTCTCTTGATAGATATCAGGCTGTCTCTTGCTGGATATGGGGATGTCTCTTGCTGGATATTGAGGCTATTTCTTGCTGGATATGGGGATGTTTCTTGCTGAATTTTGGGACTATCTCTTGCTAGATATTGGGAATGCCTCTTGCTGGATATTAGGTTGTCTCTTGCTAGATATTGGACTGTCTCTTGCTAGATATTGGGGATGTCTCCTGCTGGGTATTAGGGATGTCTCTTGCTGGATATGGGGATGTCTCTTGCTGGATATTGGGACTTTATCTTGCTGGATATTGGGCTGTCTCTTGCTGGATATTGGGGATGTCTGTTGCTGGATATTGGGGCTGTTCTTGCTGGATATTGCTGGATATGGGGATGTTTCTTGCTGATAATTGGGGATGTCTTTTGCTAGATTTTGGGGACTATCTCTTGCTAGATATAAGGTTGTCTCTTGCTTGATATTGGGGCTGTCTCTTTCTGGATTTCTCTGACTGGTCTCTTGCTGGATATTGGGGCAGTCTCTTTCTGGGACTGTCTCTTGCTAAATATCAGGGATGTCTCTTGCTGGATATCGAGGATGTCTCTTGCTGGATATCGAGGATGTCTCTTGCTGGATATCGAGGATGTCTCTTGCTGAATATCAGGGATGTCTCTTGCTGGATATCAGGGATGTCTCTTGCTGGATATTGAGGATGTCTCTTGCTGGATATTGAGGATGTCTCTTGCTGGATATCAGGATTGTCTCTTGCTAGATATTGGGGTCATCTCTTGCTTGATATGGGGGGTTGTCTCTTTCTGGACATTTAGGATGTCTTTTGTTGGATATTGGACTGTCTGTTGCTGGATATTGGAGATGTCTCTTGCTGGATATGGGGGATGTCTATTGCTAAATATGGGGGCTGTCTCTTGCTGGATATGGGGATGTCTCTTGCTGGATTTGGGCTGGAAGTGCCTCTGAGCTTACTTTAAGTGCTAGATATTTCTACTGTTTTGTACATTTTACTACATTGCTTTTTATTAACAAATTACTTGTATAGCCCCCCAAATTATACTTGGTCCCCTGTTTTCTAAAGGGAGCAGTGCTAAGAGGTGTGCAGGGGTGGAGACAAGAGGCAGTTCTAGGGGTAGGTAGGGGCCAGAAACTGCCTTCACCTAGGGGGAGGAGGGGTGAGTCCCTGCACCTTTTCTCTGAGAAAAAAGCCCTGTCCGTATCAGTCACTGACTCTGTTCATTCATAACTGAGGCATAGTAAACTGTGTTTACTATGCTTCAGTTTATGAATGAACAGAAAGCTCAGTACAGAGCTATTCCTGTCCATTCATTCTGTGTAGCTAAGTGTACTGCAGAGAAGGAGATTGAGGGCTGTGTCCTCACTCTCTGTTCTCTGTCTCAAAAGGTAAGATGCCAGGGGTCTGTTTAGACCAAAAACTCCCAACAGGTCTGATAAAATAAATATAAAAATAATTTTAAAAAAATACAATTGTAAACAATTAAATAAAATTGTAAAAAAATTATTTAAAAAAAATAAAAAAAAATAATAGACTATTGACACCATCCACTGCCTACTGACACCATCAACAGCCCTACTGACACCATCTACTACTGCCCTACTGACACTATCCACTGCTTTACTGACACTATACACTGCTCTACTGACTCCACCCACTGCCC